TTTTCCTGACAAACCCATAACAGGATGGCTTTTTTGACATACTCAATGACACAGGATGGCTTTCCTGACATACTCCATGACACAGGAAGGTTTATCCTGACATACTCCATGACACAGGAAAGTTTATCCTAACATACTCCATGACACAGGATGGTTTATCCTGACATACTCCATGACACCGGATGGTTTATTTTGACATACTCCATGACACAGGATGGTTTATCCTGACATACTCCATGACAGGATGGTTTATCTTGACATACTCCATTACACAGGTTGATTCTTCATATAACGTAATGAAATCTCTTAGCCTAAACTGGGAAACTTCAGTAATGCGATGAGGATTCCACAACCATCATACCCAAGCCTCGGCAGGTACAGCGGCTTTACGGCTTTCTTTCCAGCAGAGCTGAAGTTACTTGTGCATGGAGACTGCCATACTGGGTGACATATCGCACACAGTAGAAAATGTCTGGACGTCATCACGTAAAAAATCACAACTAACAAATTAAGAATATTACGAACAAAGGAAGATTATTTGTAAGATAAGCTAAGACACTTTATTTCAGTATGATACAATGTCTGTAATGAGGTGAATGACGTTTAGGTGTGCATGCAGAAAGCCCTTTAATATGCAGAGCATTTCGGGCAAACTTAAGACTAACTTAAGATTAATGTCAATAACAAAATGATGGGTTTTATTTGCAGTCTCTTGGGTGGGTGTAAGTATGAATTGGAGGAGTTAGTAAAGTGTTAGGTAAGGTAGCAAGTTATGAATATACCAGTAATATATCAGGCAATGCAATTTGTAACGCAAAATGACAAAAATAAATATAATAAAGCATAGCAATACTAATACAGTAATAATTAAAATATTTCAAGCAATAAACTTAATGGAAAATCATCAGGTGTAATGGAGTACAGCAGGAAAACCACCCTGTGTGATGAAGTATAGCAGGAAAACCACCCTGTGTGATGAAGTATAGCAGGAAAACCACCCTGTGTGATGAAGTATAGCAGGAAAACCACCTGTGTGATGAAGTATAGCAGGAAAAGTACCCTGTGTGTTGAAGTATAGCAGGAAAACAATCCTGTGTGATGAAATATAATAGGAAAACCATCATATGACGGAATTTATGTATAATAAGTGTTATATGTTACCATAAATACTCAAGAAGCATAACGGGAAACTGCTGAGATGGTTCTTACGTTTATCCCAAGAACACTACACAGCGGTCAGCTGGTAAAATATACGTAAAACTAGTTTCATGATAGGCCAAAAACATGCATTATTTTTTCCTTACTAAGTTGGGGTTCCTCCTACAGAAACATGGACGAGTACGAACAATTCCTGAAGAAAATACAAGAAGGGCTACTTCAGAAGGAATCTGAACCAGATGAAGTACAGCAGACAACTTCAAGAGAGAATCTTCCCCGGCAGAAGCAGTCACAGCAGCAACAGCAGCCACAGCGAGAGCAGCAGCAGCACCAAGCATCACAAAAGTCAGAAGTTCTTGGCTCACCTTCTTTCCAGGCTGTGTATGATGGTATATGTCAGGGTATCCGCTCCTCCGGTACTCTAGACGACATCATGAAAGATTTCCAGGTAATTATTTTTATGTACCCAAACATTTTTTTTAACCGCAGATATTTCTTTGACTGTTAATAGTGTAACTTCCTTTCACGTCTGTCTCTGCTTTCTGAACCCACATGAACTTTATTAATAAAATAAACCAGAAAGCCTGTGAGCCAACTTTCATTATTATTATTACTGTAATCACAGAAAGTCGCTCAGCACCTAGGAAATGGAGAAAAACTGCGTGTCCCCAGGAAGGGGGAGAATAGCTCTAATTCCTTAGATTAAGATCCCTTCAGCAGCCCTGGAAGTGCTACTCTTTAATGACTTACATTCATACAAAATCTCACAAGTAAACACTCCAGTAGATTTTTAACTTTGTTTCTAAAACTTGATTAATCTAAAAGCCAACATAAATATAATTTGATTCCGAGAATTCTGAATTTGATTTGTATTGTTTATTTTCAGCTTTCAAAAAGAAACAAGAGTGGTATATATGAGTGCCTCAGAGTACACAAGTGTGGGTAGCACACTCAACACTCTTGATCCAGTAAATAATGAAACTGGGGTATTGCCTGCACCAAATAAAAACATTTTAAAATGTATATTTTTCAGGCTTTAAAAACAGATTTAGAACGGGTGAAATATATCGCTGAGATGGCTGAGATTAAAGCAATGACTTTGGAAGAAAATTACGCCAAAAAGAGTGAGGAAGATGCCAGTAACTACGAGAAGGTCTACGAGATGCTGGTGCCTAACGAGGCGTCTGCCAGCAAGGCTCTGGAGGTGATGAAGAAATGTGTTCAGAAGACTCCCGTGGCAGACACTACTAACCTCGCTCTCAGGTACATGAAGAGAGCCTGGGCTTCTCTCCTCTTAGAACATTTTGATGATGCAAAAGTTGATGCCAAGAGGAGTTTATCGTTGAACTGTCCCGAGGACCTACTATGGAACTCATTTGAGATCTTAGGTTATTGTAGCGCTAGGATACAAGACAACAAGGCAGCAGAACACTACTTCCAAAAAGCCTTGGAAAACCTGCGTAAAAGTACCGTGGTTAACGAAATCAAAGCAACAGTTGCTGGGAGGATAATGATTGTCTTTAAGACGGTAAAGGCAAAGAAAAATAAAAAGGTCTCGAAGGAAGAGGAAGAGAGAGTGAAGAAGCGTATACCTCAAGTGTCTCATGGACCTCATGAGGCCTTCCCCAGTGCATCATCTGCACTTGACTTTCTCATTACAGAAGACAGAGGTCGCTGTACCATAGCCAAGAAAGACATCAAGCCAGGCAAGTAATATGGACCTTAAACAAACAAATTTTGTTTCTTTGTGCAGTATCAAAATGTAGTTTACATGTAATGAAATATACTGTTAATCACAAAAGAAAGTCATGAACATACAAGTAACTGACATAAGCTGAGCATTTTTGTGAATAATATTAATAACAATACTACTGCTACTACTACTACTACTACTAATAATAATAATAATAATAATATTAATGGAGTTTAATCATTAGAATACAATTTTTTAATTTATTTGTGACTTCAATATTCGCCTCTAATTAAAGGTCAAAATAAATATGCAAATTCTTGCATATGTTAGGTAAATTAAGCAATTTTATATTACGCATTTTTTTATCAAGGCTAAAGTTAATGAATAAAGATAAATGCAGTATAATATGATTATCGACATTTCGATCCTGAGAGTAGGCTTTATCAAGTCACACATACCATTTTTTAAACAATAAAAAATTGGTATATCAAAAAATTTACATAAATTTACTTAATTGTTGTTGGATGGATGAACGGGAAAAGGGTCAAAATTTGAAGTGAGTCATTTATTGTTATGTTGAAACAGGTGACATCTTGATGGTGGATACTCCATACTGCACCATGCTCAACCCAGAGTCTTTGAGTACCCACTGTTACCACTGTTATACCCGCTGCCCCACACCCGTACCCTGCACGTCTTGTGCCAAGGTCAGTACTCGTGCCCTGCACGTCTTGTGCCAAGGTCAGTACTCGTGCCCTGCACGTCTTGTGCCAAAGTCAGTATCCACCTTGAAGGGAAAAAAGTAACAGTATAGGGCATGGTGTTCTCCATGACAAACAAACGCAGTTTTGGTTCCATTTCCATTTTGTGGAAAAGATGAGTCAACATTCACTTCTACCACTGTTATCCTCATACACTTTATTTTATATATTATCTAAAAGGTAGGAATAAAATCAAGGTGATGGAGTTACTGTAACTTACGTAAGAGATAGCAACGTATCAAGCTGATGGAGTTAATGTAGCTTATTTGTCATGAAAAATCACCTGGCCTGGTAGGAGTAGTGATCATATCATGAATAGCTCGGTGGTTCATTATGAGCTTCGTAAAAGCTTCACTGTGATGAAACATTAAGGTATCACAGACACCTATAATAATAGAAACCAACTCACATGGACACAAAGATAGAAAAAAAAGTTGTTTTGTATATTTCGACCTCGGCCTTATGCTGGAGTTGAAATATCCTCAGCAACTTCTTTTTACGTCTTTGTCTCCGTGTGGGTTGGTTTCTGTTATTGTCTCCAGGTGGGTTGGTTCCTATTATATTATGTCTATGTGGATTGGTTCCTATTATATTATGTCCATGTGGGTTGGTTCCTATTATATTATGTCCGTGTGGGTTGGTTCCTATTATATTATGTGCATGTGGGTTGGTTCCTATTATATAATGTCCATGTGGGTTGGTTCCTATTGTATAATGTCCATGTGGGTTGGTTCCTATTATATTATGTCCATGTGGGTTGGTTCCTATTATATTATGACCATGTGGGTTGGTTCCTATTATATTATGTCCATGTGGGTTGGTTCCTGTTATATTATGTCCATGTGAGTTGGTTCCTGTTATATTATGTCCATGTGGGTTGGTTCCTGTTATATTATGTCCATGTGGGTTGGTTCCTGTTATATTATGTCCATGAGGTTGGTTCCTGTTATATTATGTCCATGTGGGTTGGTTTCTATTATATTATGTCCCATGTGGGTTGGTTCCTGTTATATTATGTCCATGTGGGTTGGTTCTTATTATATTATGTCCATGTGGGTTGGCTCCTATTATTTTGTCTCCACGTGGGGTGGTTCTTATTCTTGTGTCTGTGGGTTGCATAAGAATGAAGAGGCACAGCAGCAGGTCTACTGGCCCACGCTAGGCAAGTCCTGTTGTCAAGTCAATGTAATTTAAAGAAACATACAGGACATTGTGTAGCTAATATAACGAGTGTTTCTGTGACGACAGGTGTGGTACTGCAGCGAGGAGTGCCAGGTAGCATCCTGGGGAGGACTGCACGCCTCTGAGTGCACCGTCCTCAACCATCTCATGGATCCAGGTATAGGCAAGATGGCTCTGCTGGCCTACAGGTAAGTATCTTAAAAGCACGCTTCCCATCAATAAGGATGCCTTAATACTGGTGAAGGGTTCTTGATCCAGGGAGTTTAATTTATCCTCCCCTTCCTGGAATCAAACGTAATTAATTCCCATTCCCCAGGCTCTCTATGAATCCTATGGGTTCAGCGTTTTCCCAGGAATACTCACATAGTAGCAACATGCTATGTACCTCTTTGCTGTTACTGATGCACTAGAGCTGTGCTTCCCTTATGAACTGATTACTAGTTAATAATCTGCTGACATTCGTGATGAGTTGGTTACTCAGACGTAAATTCATTCACGAAAACATTACAATGTAGCTGATATGTGGTCATGTATTATTTATAACACTCAATATTTTAGCAAGGTATGGTTGAATTTTGAGACGTTTAAGTATAGCTGGAGTTGTGAGTTATTTACAACAGGTAAAGTTAGGGTATTATTCCAGAATGGCTGGTAATATGCTACCGTGGATAAAATACTTCGACCTTCCTTCAACATTTGTGAGTAAGCTGTCTCTGAAATTTTTTTTTTTTTACTTGGTATACCAGCTACAGGCCATGGAATTCTCTCTTCCAATTTGAAGGTGACCACCCAGCTTCTAGGGCATCGTATAACGAATTTTTCAAATAGCATAATGGAAAACTGGATAATGATGTGGATTATTTTTTTGATCAGAGTGATGACAACGATAAAATGGAGAGGACTGCAGAAGTGGCGACGACAGATAGAGAACTTGGTGGAGGCCGATGTGGTGGAGGGTGAGGAATTTTATATGGAGGAACAGTCTTTAGGAGAGGCTAAACATGAAACTTTCCCGGGGAAGCCCTTCACATGGGAGGGGAAGTACAATCCTCGCGACTACAGAACCGTTCTCCGCTTAATAACCAACTCCACTAAGAGGACGTTCGGTGACATGTTCAAGCGAGCGATTACTGCAGTATATCTGGCTCACTGCCTGAGACTTACAGGCTATTTTGGCCCAGATGATAACGAGGACAATATAATATTTGCCGCAAGTCTTTTACTCAGGCACTTACAAGGAGGTTCTTGCAATGCGTATGAAATCAGTGAGTTTGATGTTGGTTCTGAGGGTATTGCTAGTACAAAGATGATTGAGGTGGGTGGAGCTCTGTACACCACCATCTCCCTCACCAACCACTCCTGTGTCAGTAACACCACTCGTTACAGTGTGGGTGATAAGTGTGTACTGAGGGCTACCAGGTCCATTTCTCGGGTAGTGAAGTTTTCGATAATTACGGTTTCCATTTTTTATTCGGTCACTGTTAACGAACGTCAAGAAGCTCTGTTTAACCAATATAAATTTAAATGTATGTGTGAGGCGTGTAAATGGGCATGGCCGTTGTATCCACATCACCCGGCCGAGACCCTCATCTTCAGGTGTCCAGCACCCTCCTGTGGTGGCCCCTGCTGCTACTCCAGCAGCAGCCGCTCCAAGTGTAACATGTGTGGCAACCAACAGCAGTATACCAAGTTCGTACAAGAATTAGAGCTACAGTTAAGCAGCTACAGAGATGCACTAGACAAGTTGAGAAATGACGACCCGTCGTCTGCGCTGCCTATCCTATTGGCCCATCAAGCCTTCCTGGACCGGCATGTTGTAGAGCCCGTGAAACACTACACGGACATACAAGAGGCTACCAAGCAGTGCTACAACTACTTGGAAATATCCATCAACTTCGGCAGACCACACCCTGGCCCAGCCACAGTAACGTCCACCACCTAAGCTGAAGGCGGCGCCCAGGAAGGTTGTCATGCATCAATAGTTCCCAGACTCGAGGCTCCATCATACAACCATTGTAAGATGTTTGCTCACAATTCAAGTCATCCCGGCTACAGGTAATTCTTTCAAAAATCTATAAAAAAAGAACATCTATTAA